GGTGTTAATGAGTAATATTCATTGGTTGATATATCAAATAGGCAGTCTTGCTCATTCATTATATGTATTCATACGCACATTCATGAAATGTAAACATCCCAAATTTTCTATCAACGTGATTGCTTTCAGAGGACTTGCTTAGTGAACTTAGGGCTTGATAGCTTGAAAGAGTGCCTGTTATCCTGGAAAAAATTATATATCTCAGGTCTCTTAAGCATGAGCTCTTACTGCGTCGTAGGACTGTCACACGATAAATCCAACTCCGCTTTCTCTAAGCGCTACAGTAGAGGACGTGACATCATCTGCTGATTATTGGTGGCAGTCTGAAGGGATCGTCATTAAAAATAATCTGTAGCGTGCGTCAACGTGTTAGTATACTACGTTCTTTGTAGAATCGTATCTACCGTCGGGCTTAGTGAGTCCCCGGCATTAGAGTCCTGTCCCTGGCTTTAGGCAGTGAAAGCTGGCATTAAGCTTTTTGTATGCTGCATATGATATGCAATTGTTGTTATTGAAGTTATGATGACTACTGAACATTTTTTTATTTTTCATTCATAATATTTTAACTACCAGTAAGCTCAAATATCATCATTGATTATAGCGCAGCTCGTTAAAAATTTTGCGTCATTCGGTTCATAAAAATTAGGTATAAAGTTGTTTACATCTACTTTATTGATCAGTTACAATATGAGATGCCTTGTAGCATGAAGGTACCTGCATGCTGGTACTGTAGTAACTAATTACATATGTAGGCCTATAACATGCAGCCAATTGTTGGCAATTTCTTTTGCTGTCAGGAATAGTTTCCACATGACAATCCAACTATCTGTGTCAAAGTGAAACACATGGATTTAATGCATCCTGTCATATTTGTTCTTCCGTGGCAATCGGTTGCTGATCAGTGGCCACTGACAAAGGTTTTGAAATATGGTGTATAAATGAATTGAAGGATTTTCTTTGATATCTTAATTACTTACAAATGTGCTGTTTGTCATTTTTTAGTAAATTGTGAGTGAATGCTCCATCGGTGTAGAAAAAAAAAATAGTAAGACCATAGGAAAAAAGACTTTTTAAATACTTTCTTTCACAAATTTGTTTTTTTAAAATTGTCAGAGGAGGGGAGGAGAAAAATGAAAATAAAATTTATTTTCTTGTTTAAAAAATAGTTTTGCCAAAAACATCCCGACGGAGGAAAAAATAAAAATAAGATTTTATTAGTGAATGTAAACAGTGATTTGATGGTTAAATACTCTAAGTTTATAAATTAGGAAGAAATATAC